TGATACAGGAAAACGATTTTTTTTCAAGGCTCTGGAGTCACTTAACTGTATTCTGAGAGATCTCCAGCTTTTATCTTTAGATGGTTAGTGGTGTGAACTGCAGAGGCAAGCTTAGAAAATGCTTTTTTTTTTTTTTTTGGCAAAAAGTTGTACACAACTGCTAGGTTTTTTTGGTGGACGGTGCGGGTGTAGAAGTGGGATATTGCTGGGATGAATACAATGTTACTTGTTTGTGTGACCTACTGGATTAGCCATGCAGCTGTACATAACTTACATGGATAGGCCGTACTAATGTAAATAAAGTGCTGTGTTCACCCTACTTTATATTCTGCTCTCTGTTTTCTCATACTGAACTGTCTGGATTTCCTGATTTCCTGCAGGCTTATGTGGAGCGACATCTCAAGACTGATTCTTGAATTACCTTTTCTTAATTCCCATTCTGGGGATTATTGTACTGACTTGGACAAGTAAAAAATTCTGACATTTCTTTTTCTTCAGTTTTCCAGATTGACATGCATTCTCCGCCCCTGACTTTCGTTCCTTGTGCATTGTGTTTTCTAAGAAGATAATAGTGCAAATAGTCTGCCTTTTATTTGCTTTAGCTTTGGGTGCATTTTTTTAAAACTATTTTTGCTTTAATTCTTTCTGAGTTGGGAAATCCAAAGGTTTATATTGGAAACTGCGAAATGCAAACATGCAGGGGCTTTGAAGATGGTTCGACTGTACCGTATTAGTTTCTGTAACTAAAGATAGAAGCGGCAGATGTGAAGCTTATGTGCTTGAGGCAGAATTTTCATGTCTTGCCTTTTTGGTGTAATTTTATGGGGTTCAACCATTTGGTAATGTAAGTGTACATACTAGAAAGTGCGCCTATGCTATGCTTTCTACAAAAGGGCAGACTCTCTCTCTCTCTCTCTCTTTTTTTTTTGGGAAAATGTTGCTAATAAGTGGTTCATGGGTGGATTGGAGTCGACTAATTCTAAACCATTTGTCTTAAGTTGAATTTTTGTTTAAGTTTTTTTTGGGGGGTGCTTATTGTGTTTCCTTAGCCGTCAAATAGAAAAAAAAAAATCTAATTTGTTTACAATGCATACCCGGATAGCTGTTGTATTAGAATCAAAAACAGAAAAGATAGCCTGTTTGCTCGATGTGTTACATTTGCTACCACAAAGGATGGATGGCATATTTGACGGCTGAGATTGTCCCAGCGAGTTCGGGTTGATCTTGGGTGTTTATTTATAAATTTTATTTGATCTTTGATCTTTGATCTTTGATTTGAAATTCATTTGGATTTCAATTCAACGATTGAGATCGATCAATCTGAGCGATTTAGCTGTCAAAGTTCTCCGCAGAGTATTCGAATCCAACCAAGTTGACAGTGAGTTCCAATACGTCACCATCCATAAGCATAAAAAGAAAAAAAAAAAAAAAGAACAAGTTTTGGCCATAGAGAAGACTTGAGCCGCAGACATCCTCTAAAATGGTTTATGAGCATTATATGATTTTCATCAAAATGTTTTTTGTGTATACTGTGTGTAGTGTCTGCGTCCCACTGTGCAGCGGGTTTGACGCGTAATGATCACTTTATATAATTTCTTAATGCACAGTTCTATACTAAAACAGGGTAAAAATCATCCTAATCTATCAATTTGAAAAAAAAAAAGAGCACTGGTCATATCATTAAAGATTATTTGTATTAGCAGTAAATAAATCACGGACATGGACGATTTAAACTTTCCCACCAGCCAGAGGGTTATTATCACTTTATCATTTTAACGTTTGGTGTCACTATTCAATTTTTTTCTTAACGTTATTTTTTAGTCATTTTGCTCTCAAAACTAACGGTCAAATTTAATGGAGTTTATTAATCCAAGTGATAAGATATGTTTAACCTTTAAAATTATTATCACTTTATTCCCATAAAACTATAACCTTATTATCAATTTATTCCGTAGAGTTATTTTTAGGCAATTTATCCCACCATTAAATCAATTTAACAAGTTAAAAAACTTTAGAAGATAGTACCCTCTTTTCAGTATAATAAAAATAATAAAAAATTTAGAGTGGTATTTCTCCGTTTTAGTACCAAGGAAAAAAATCAAAACAATAATCTCTTTCTTTTTGGCGATCTTATTAATATTCAAAAAAATAGAAAAATAAGGGAAGAAGAAGAAAAAGAAGAAGAAGAGAGAGAGTTCAATTCTTTTTTAAAAAAAATACAAATAAGAAACCTGTTTACGAGGGTTGGACAAATTGAATAGGCTTTGCCTAATCTTATATATTGGAAACTATATAAAGATTAGGCAAGCCTATTCAATTTGGCCAACCCTCGTAAACAGGTTTAGAGACGCTAGGATGAGGGTGGGCAATTCCCTTCCTGAAATTCAATAGTACTATACAATGGGCATTAAAGTCTTTAAAATTTTTAAATTTATAGTATATTTGCATCCCTGAATTTTGTAAAATTCTTTCCTCTAGTTACATTGCCCCCCCCCCCCCCACCTTTCCTTCTATTTCAAAAAGAAAAAAGAAACTTCCTTCTCTTTCTAGATTATTATCCTCTTTAGATTTTATAAAACTTGCTCCTCCATCTACATTCATCCCTTAGATATAAAATTTTTTCTGATAATTACCTTTTAACTATAGAATCACCTTTTTTTTTTTAATATAAGTTGGAGGATTCAAACGCGAAACCTTTTGCTTACATCCCCTCCCCTACCACCTAACCCATCCACGTATCACTTTTCATACCTGAACTTAAAATCTGCATACTCTTACTTGTATCAACGTGCTATTCAAAAGTACTAAGGTATCTTTTCAACTTGAAAATATGACTTCTTGTTCACAGTTTAAGTACTATAATTGCATAAAGTTGATGATAATTTATTACAGAAAATAATATGAAAATTGCAAGGACAATATTTTCCTTACATTTGTGCAAGAAACATGCTCCATCGATCTTGGAGAACTCCAAAATGAATTTTTTTTTTTTATAACGAGTAAATCTTCTGATTCTATGAATTTGGTTTTTGAGATTGCAATACTTTAATTAAGTGGTTGACAACTCATATATTTCATGCGATGGTTGATTAAGAAACACCAAAAAAAAAAAAGATCATTATGAATTGTTTTACAAACAAAATTCAGAGTCAGCATTTTATCAACGCTGGTTGTTCACCAAGTTAGTGATTCCTCATCCATTGGTTTCTTCTTAGTTTAGCCGTTTCTTTTTATTGACATCATTTTCTTTGTTTTTTTTTCCTTGAACATGTGCCCAAAGTTGATGAACTAATATATATTATTTATACCAGCTTATGGAAAAGAAAGACAACACACTTGGAGGTAAAAGTAGTAAAGACAACCAAGAAATCATTGAAATAAGGTTAGGATCCTCTCCATTGGATTTCTCTATATTAACATACTAAAAATTAAGATAATGGTATAAAATTATGCGATTGTGTCATTATTTTTCTTTTGATCTCTAGATTAACATACTAAAAATTAATCTTTTTTTGAAAATATTTTGATATTCAATTTATGTGAAATATTTGAACGGTGAAAATAGGTCAAAATTGTGACAAAATTTGTAATGATTAATCAAATAGAAAAACTTGATCAATTTCCTACCAAATTTTATATATAACTAACATAAGTAATAAATATATTATGAACGATGTTGATTTTTGAAAATAATTTTTAAATTAATTTTATTAGAGTGCAATAAAGAGAAGTTCTCTCCAATGCAATGTAGAGAAATGTGTTGGATATTTACCTGCAATTATTTAGGCTTGATGCTATACTAATATATGGAAAATGTATAGGCTCAATCAAACGTCTATTAATTCTTCAATTTCTTCACTCCTAGAGTACTAGGAAAACAAAAACAAAAAGGTTTTTTTAGCTTTTTTTTTAAACTTTTATTAGTACCAAGGAAAGAAAAAAAGTGGGGAGGGAAGGATGTAGAAAGTTCAATTTTGAAAATAAGAAAAATAAGTAAGAATCCAATACTATCATTAATTTAAGGTCAGCAAAGTTTGAATTGGGTGATAGCTGGAAGAGTAAAAAGTGATTTTAAAATAAATAGCACATTGGAATCTTTCTTATTCCTATTTTTTTCTTGAGAATTGAATTCTTTGTCTCTCTTTTCTTTAGTATTTATAAGAGTGTAAAAAAAAAAACGAAGAACAGTTTTGACTTTCTTCTTAAATACCAAAAAAAGGGTGAAAAAAAGGAGAAGAAGCATTCCAAAATTTTTGATTTGTTTAATTATTCAGGACCCTTAAATTGTTCATCATGCTAAATTGAATCCTCAACCATGGACTATAGAAGGATTGAAGATGTTATGAAATCGATGTTCGTGGACTAAAACCATAAGAATCATTCATTCGATCATGCACTTAGAAACTAATACCATGTGTTATGAGTTTTGAATCTTTTGCTGTCAAATTTTTAGTCTATGACACAGCCGAGGGATTTAAGGGATCAGTTTACAAACTTTCAATTCGTCCTTGCTTTTGTGGTTTTTTTCAGCTAAGATTCATCCTGGAAAAGGCCAACAAAAAAAAAAAGCCTCAGAAAAAGTGCTTTATTTTCTGATCAGTAGTAGATTTTTCTAACGTTTGCAGGGCCAAAAAACTTTTTTTTTTTTTCGTCAAAACTAAAATAGTTGATACGTGCAATTTTTCATTTTCAGTAGTCTTGACTATGGCAATTTTTTAATTGATTCATTTTAAGTGGTTAATTATGGTATCAAATGCCTCCTGACCATATATACGAATGTCGCGTCCCAGAGTGCGTATCAGTAGCATATATCATCATTTTCTCCTTTTCCACCAAAAAAAGAATATATCAACCTCTGCAAAAGAAGGATAAGAACTCTAGCAATAATAGCTAAAATCGTCGTAGATTAAAACATTCAAGCATTACTTTATTGAATGCGCTTCATTTACGAATACAAACCAAAGAAACACAAATCGAAGCTTGGAGACAACCACAAAAAAAAAAAAAAAAAAAAATTTGCACCAGCATGAAGGAAGGGATCAATAACTGCAAATCACGGTTGATAATCAATGGTGCTTAGTAAGGCAACCATATTATTGTGTTTTTGTTCGTGAAGCTTTCTTCAACGAAGCTCGGACTTCCCACCTCGTCCCTGCTGACTTTTGTCCATTATGCTGGATAAACTTGGGCCTGAAGCTTCAACCCTTTGTAACAGAAAAAAGGATCAGCTGCGAAGTAGTAAGTACGAGATTCAGTAAGCTTAAAAGGGACGACAGCGTCAGGTGGAAGATCATCTTTAACATCCGTCCAGGTACAATGTGCATAATCTGTTTGACCAACTTCCGCAATCGGGAGTGCCTCTGGGTTAATGAAATCTACACAAATTAGAAGAAAACTTAACAGTTAATTAGATGATAAATTGGGAGTTAAAACGCATTCTTGGATAAAATATTAAACACGCAGCCAGTAATTGATTAATTAATACCACAGAAGATAGAAAAAAGCCCAGTCGATAATCGATCGAGTTTATGAGGGTACGAATCTTACCCAGGTAATCACCCACGCGAAGTATCACAAACTGAAGAGAAGAGGCCGGATCAATTCCTCGTTGCCATGTAACTCGGTGATACTCTGGCAAACATGTGATTGGGACGGCAAGACATAAACCGAGTAGAAATACGATGACTTTGGAGGTCATTTTTTTTTTTTTGTTTTGTTTTGGTGATGGGGGGAGGGGAGGAGGGAGTACTATGAGTAGATTAAGGGAGAAGAAGGGGTGCCATAAGCGTGGAGAGATTTTGCCTTTTTATAGATGGGCGCGGCGGCTTTGTTTGGATAGAGTATTATTCCAAATAATTATTTGAAATAATTACTGTAACATTTTTTGTGATGTGAAATACGTGAGATAAAAAGTTGGTTAAAAATATAAAAAAGTGAATCGAGAAATGTGTTTATGATGCAAGCGAAAATTTTTTTTTTTAAAAAATGCTATCCGAACATAGCAATGCTGCAGATATATATATAACTATATATATATATATATATATATATATATATATATATATCCGGGGGGGGGGGATTTACTGCGCATATGCTATGGATATATATAAGGGATAATTTAAAAAATCTCTCTTGAGATTTTTGATAATTTCACTTAACTCCCCTGAAGTTTCAAGAATTATATAGAATTTCTTTAGTCCAATCAAATGACCAAACTGTCCTCCACTTAATAGTTAATTTATAAAGGGATATTTAAAGTCCAAAAACACTTCTTATTATTCTACTTGTCATTTTCTAATCTTCAAGAACAATTCCCTCAATTTTCTAATTTCATCTCTTCCTCCCCTTTCGGATTAGAAGGAGACGTGGATGAGGATGGGATGAAGCCTCACAAAGGGTAAATTTGAGGTTTCCACATTATTGCAAGGATTTGTTTTCCTAAATTTTTTGGAGTAAGGCACATGTGGGACTTAAGAAGTACGTAACGGGATGATGAGAAGGCGGAAATTGAAGCCTAGTATTTTGAAAGATTGGGGTGTTGGGCAGCGCATTTTGCTTCCGACTTTTGAGGTGACATGAAAGTTCTGAGGCGTGAGGAGTAAACTCTAACAAATTTGAATTTTTAATTCCAGAAATTTGATCTAGTGCTAAGATTGAAATTCTAAAATTTAGAAATTATAGGTTCAAATCCTCTTTCTACGTCATCACTTCTTAAATACTGTCATTTTCTTACGCACCTTTCTCTCTCTCTCTCTCTCTATATATATATAGACGCACACCAAAGGCTATCGGTTGTGCCTCGATGCTTATTTTTTTTCCTCGGCGGGGGAACGGTAAGAATTAAGAAGCGAGGAGAGGGAAGAAAAATTTGAACATAGAAGCTCTGTGCCTTAAAATCTCAACCTTATTTACCACCATGACTTGGTTAATCAAAATTCCAGATGCTCATTGGTCTCCTTAAAAATTGCTTTAATAAAATAGTATATACTCAAACTCCTTAAAGAAAAAACAAAAACTTGCATATACAGCATATAAATTTATCCAGAATCGACCAATAAGTTCAGTAGGAGCTGCCTTCTCCTACCTTCTTTGAGATACAAGGTCGGCTTATGAATTTTTCCTTGCCAGCAGACTAAAAATATTCCTCGAATTTCTCATTCAACATAATATGGCTAGCTAGCTGTTTAATGTATATTCAGTTAATGACAATCCAAGAAGGAATTCTATTCTATATGAAATATCAGTAAGAGCATATTACATTCTCATAGTCAACTAAAACTTGTAATCTAAAACCTTATCTAATACTCTTTGCTATAGTAGATTGTTACTTTTGTTGGTGGATTATTGTTTTTGGGTCTTTATTCACTTACAGAGCGTTAGTGGCTCTGGTGCCACCAGCCAATTTTGGATTCAGAAATTTTTGTGTCTTCGCGTGCCAAATGAACCTATGTTTCACTTGGGGATGCAAAATTTGAAATCGACATATGATATCCACCTTTTACCATGAAATTTTGTATGAGATTTCAAAAAGATCCTCTCTTGTGTGCTTTGGAAGCTGACTATGCTCCTTCTCTTGTTCATGTCTCTGCTTTAATCATTTACTTACTCCTGCAGCAAAATTAATATATTTACTTTTTGCCTAAAAAAATTTAATATTAACTTTCACAAGTTAAGCTTTTTAACATTCTATGGCAAAAATTTTTAAGGGATAATTTCAAAAACCTCGAGGTTTCTAACTATTTCACTTAGTTTTCTCGGAATTTTTAAAAATTACACTTACTCCCCTTGATTTGACACTTTTATAACCAAATCTTAAAATAGGTCAAAAATGTAATGAATATCCTAAAATGCCCTTATCAAATAAAGTTTAATTTATTCTTCTAAACAATTGTAAAGTAATTTGGCATAATTATAAAAGGAACTATCATAGTTTGGTAGTGATTTTAAGCAATTTGTTTTTAGTTCTTTTTTATTTATTCTTAATTTTGATACAAAAAAATTAGATAATATTAAAAGTTATTAATAAAATATTACTAGTTTAACATTTGATCGGGATAGAGGTTAAAGACAACATTGATAGTTCTTCTATATTATAAATCCATCCCTTGTATAAACATGAAGCAAGTGAGTTTTATTAAAGTATTAAGTTTAGTACTGTCATTTTAAATTGGTAAGGGATGTAGGTATAATTTGTGAAATCTAAAAGATACTAAGTGAAATTGTTAGAAATCTTAGGGGAGGTTTCTGAAATTAATTGGCAAATCCATACCCATTTAAGTGAAGTGGATATGGATGATTAAATGGATTTGGATAGAAATTGCTGCCTCTGGCTAACCTTAGGCTTCAATGATTTGTAATTGGCCATAGATCCACTTGCAGAACCAGAGGTTGAAGTTTTGGGATGAGGGAGAGGGGAAGGGTAAAACCTAGTAAAAAAGAAAATTAAGGGGGCAGCCATATGTTTTTGTGAAAGACTCGAGGGTAAAGTCTAATATTTACAGGTATATAAGGGAATATAAAGCGATTTCGACAATTTTGGGAAGGGGGAGCAAAGTTTAATTTTTAAGAGTGTAACTATTAAATTTTTTAAGGAGAAATATAGGGATATTTTAAGTCTTGAGAGGGCGACAGCCCCTCTCTACCCCATTTGCTTCTACTCAAGCACAGATTAATTCAACAAATTTGGATCCTACAAATATAAACACTAAAATAATGATGTGCAAAATACAATAAATTTTGTTATTTACTAAAAATCGTAAATCCATAATCAATTTAATCTATCGAATTTCAAATCAACTTCCTCTTCATTGTCAATTGTATGATTCAATTATTCTGGCAATTGCAAATAGTCTTGTCGCCTACTGGGACTAAATACATCAGTAATATCAGGAAAAAAAAAAAATCTACGTCTAAGTGCAACAATTAAGATGAATGTGCACATAGACTGAGGAAGATGTCTACAGCAAAAGCGTTTGCGTTTGGATTCACTGTTTTTTGGGATATTTTTGAAATATTTTACTGTAACAATATGTATGAAAAACTTTTACTGTAAATATTTTTGGTGATATTTTTGGAGATGTATGAAAGAGAGGGAGGAGGAAGAGGGAGGGAGAAGAAAGAGGAGGAAGGAGGGGATGGTGGTGATAGATGAAAGAAGAAGATGGTATAATTTTTTTAATATATTTTTTTTAATTTTTTTTGTATATTTGGAATTCTTTTTTATATATTGTATGGATGTGATATTTTTGGAGTTATTTTTGTTTATATATTGCTGTAGTATTATATATGAAAAATTTGTTTTTCAAAAAACAAAAAATCCAAACATAGCCATTATTTGTGGAAGCAAAATCTAAAAGAATGTAGGGGCAAAATCACACGCACACGCAGGCACTCTCACACACACGCACATCAATTTATATGTATACATGCATATATCAATTTATATATGCCAGGCATTGTGTCTAAATCCTAGGGAAACTGTGGTGAAGCAAAATTTGAACTTTTAGACAAGCCACTCAACCATATCTTACGTTTGATTAAGTCGGAAAAGTACCAACGTTAACAAAAATACAAAACTTGGACGCAGCTTCCCCCACCAAACCTTTTACATTCCCAGCTGCACAAACTTGAAAGATAACCAACTTTTGGTATTGTTCATGCATATATGCAAAAAATCAAATATAATAACGTATATGTATTATATGCAAAATAGAAAATACTCAGAGGTTTTAGTTGAAACTGCAGACGAAAATTTTGCGAAAAAATAAAAAAACGTAAATTTCTGTGTATGAATAATTATTTTCTTTTTAAAGAAAAAAAGGGTTTGCAAAAAAAAATAATAATGATTTTCTCCTTAAAAAAAGAGTTTTAATGTGACAGGAGGAAATATTGTAAATACACACCGGGGAGGTTAATTTTGTTGTAACCATATTGACACTGAGAAAAACGTCTGATCACGCATATGTTAGCCTTTTAAAATTTATTGGCATGCTAATACGCAGGCTTATTTGCTTTTGAAACCGAAATATAAATTGTCAATATTACTTTCTACTTCTCTCACGGAAGAATAGTAAGAGATAATAAATTGCGTGCGAGGCACATGTGCAAAATGTGTTGTTTTAACATATCAAAAGAGCAAAAGGAAAAAGAAAAAAGAAAAAAAAAGCCACAGTAAGTGGTATGAAAAACCATTATTTCATAACAAGGAATTATTACAGCCACTTTGGCTCCATATGGGTTCATTTTTAAGATAAGTTTTCGGAAAAGTACTTGGGTTTGCTTGAATTGTCCTTTTTTTTTTTTGCAATATATATATATATATATATATATATATATATTTTTGCTCCCATTATTCTACTCTCTTGTTAGCCTTTGCATATCCAGGACAACTGCGCTATAAAGCTACCAGGATTAATCTGATCCTTCTTAGGCAAAATTGCAGATTTCGGCCCCCGACCGTAATGCAACATTGGCAGCCAAGATAATGTTCAGATCTGGCGATTGAATCCAGACAAGTACGGTGCACTTCCAGTCAGACAAACTAATGACACCAAAGACGTAGAACTCAAATTTTAGAGTGACAATAAAAACTAGCAAAATTGTAGAATTGAAGGAACAAGCCAGACGAGGAAATGTATAAAAATAATTAAAAAAAAGGACAAATAACACCCAAGCCAAATTGAGATCAGCACTTATGGCTATCCATATATGGAGCAATTATGATTGGATTTCAATTTTATACAAATATGTTGTTGCAATTTTTAGGGAGAAACACCGT